CCATAGGCAAGCAGATTGCTGAATCCTTTAACACTTACTTCAGACTGATATTTGAAGGCAATTTGAAGGAATTTTTCTGAAGGTGAAGTTGCTGGACTTGCACTGGATTGCCAGCATGAATGGCACCAGTTATATCCAAGGCCCAAGAATCACGCTCTTCTCGGGAGCAAGAGTCAAGGAAATATTCTGTGTTGGTTTTGGTCCGCAGTTTAATGACCAACTGGAAAAGGACAGCACAAGGAACACCAAGATTTATATGCGCTAGCAAAAATGAAAATCTCATGACATCACTCAAATATTTATTATGCCTCCTTCTACATCCTTATGCCTTGCTCTTATTATCTGAGGACCCCTGCCATCAGAAATGAAGTAGATAGTGACTAGTAGGGACAGAGCCTTTTAAGCTGTGATATCTATAATTATAATATATAAACTATAATTGGTATACTTCTCAAAACACTGATAGTAATATTGCATTGCCAACTTTCTCATTTAAGCCATTTTTAAATTGTTGCATTTGTTTTGTTTATTGTATTTGATTGTGTTAATTTTTACTGTAAACCTTTCTATATTATTATTAAATTATATTACCAAAACAACAACAACAGCAGTTGTTGTTACAGTATTGTAAAAATACAGTTGTTATTACAGCATTGTAGTAAGGGTATTGTAATATGTAATAAGAGACAGTATTACATCAATTTTTTAAAGCCCTACATGGTTTGGGTCTAGGTGTACCTACAGAATTTCCTTCTCCTCTATAATCTTTCTGTACACTCAGGTCCTCTGGGGGACATTTACCCCCCAAACTGTGGAATTACTAGCTGGAAGAGATTCAATAGCTGGATATATTATCTGAATTTAAAACAGCATTGAAGACCAGTCTCTTCTGGAAGGCCTACATGATGAATTTTAAAGTATGGATTTATTATTTTTAAAATGTATTGGTTTTATGAGCTCTTTTAACTGATAAGTGTTTTTAAAGTTCCCCATCTCAACCCATAAAGAAATAACAACAACATAATTGTGTCTTCTTCTTCTTGCAGTGGAGGACAGGGAGTCTTGAAGATATCTCATCCACAGGGTGCCATGGGTTGAGATTGACTCAAGGGTGGTTAACTTTTTAACACATTTGCTCATTGCAGTATTTCCCTAAACATGGAATTGGAGATCTGTGATGACTGCCAGATGGCTATAACCAGGCCCACTCCCTTCTCCAGTCTGTTTCTCTCCTTTTTTAGAACCAGCACAATAACCACAGTTTGTGAATACAGAAGATAACATACCGGCCTGCTCTCATATTCCAGACATGGGCAGGTGATAGTACAACCATCTAGAAGAATTCTGCCCTTTGGTGAAGGCTCCTTCTTTCCTCCAACAATTTTATAATAGAGCAACCTGTCTTGTAAAAGGACAAACCACCTTGCTTTCCAGTTGTGGACAACATGCCCCTGCCAAATAAAATAAAAAATAAATTAAACAGTTGTACTTGGGAGAGGGTACCTTTGAAACATCTTTTACTGTATATACTTTGGTGCTGTGTGCACCTGGATATTTTACTCATTGCAATTCATACTTTTTCTTTGTTGGTATATTCTTAGTTTGAAGGACTTTAAACAAAATCCTGCGATTGAAGACCTTTGCCCACATTGAAAGCATCCTCAAAGTGCATTTTAGGTTTTAGCCATTCCACCACACTCCTGTATCTCATCCTGTCATACTAGCTTGAAACACAATATGCTCACAGTAGACTTCAGCAAAACAGCCTTGACTCTGTTGGCAATACCTCTAAATATTGTGAGAACTGATGTGGCCAGGAACGCATCCATACTCCAAGCAACTTTTTAAAACAAATCCTATAAGTGAAGTTCACATTGTTAGGACTGGATAGTTAATGTAATGCTGTCTATGATGAAATGATGCTGTTTATCATTAAAAACAAACAAACCACAACCCCCATAATATAACCAATAATTATCCAGTTACATTTACACAAACACAGCCAATGCACCTTTCTCACCCTTCCCTCAACATAACACCCTTTGGATGTGTTGAACTACAAAGCCCATCATCTTCAACCAGCAAGCCAGGGATGATGGAAGTTGAAGTACAACACAGGAACAAAAGGCGGCATCATATAATTTTTAATGTTCAGAAAATGTTATATTCTCTAGATTGGTGAGAGAAAGGATCCACACATCCTGGGTTTTACCCAGAGACAGGTAGGTAAATATGTGATATTCCCTGTAGCAAAGATGCAGTTGAGAGCAAGTTTACGATCAGAAGGAAATTTGTATAATTATGCACAGTGGTTTTAGCACTTATCCAGGAACAGTCCCAAGAAAAATACATTTAAAGACCAATTTCTAGTTTCAAGATTTGAACATGGTTGATCTCTTTGGGAAAAAGAGCATAAAACTTATTGTAAAGCTAATATACCATAAATATATAGCATGGCTTTCTTTAGATAAGAGCAAGGTAAAGGAACACTGCATCATAGAAAGGGCTGGAAATTAGAGCTGGTGTTTGCAGGACCTTTTGAAGATTGCATTTGATGAAGACTTCAGTATGCGATTGAGAAGAGTTGTATGTAAAGAATTAATTCTAATAAATAAAGCCAGAGTTTGAACTGGGAATTTGACTAACAGAAACTGTGTGCACAGTAATGGATTAGGATCAAGATAAGCAGCCAGGTAGAGCAAGCAGAGCAAGATTATTGCACTCTAGCTCAGGAAGACAATAAAGATGCTTGAAAAGCAAGAAAAGAATTTAAAAAATGTTTCCTCACTACTTTAGTTTTCCTGATTTTCCCATCTTTTTTTCAGGTTGCAGTGTGTCTGGTCTCATTCAGAATAAGAGAAGTTTTCAATCAGCAGCATTAACCCATGTTGTTTAAATTATGGTGGCCTGAAGGATTCAGAAATGATCTTTAAAATTTCTGTATTATTGTACGATAGCACTATAACACCACAGTTCACATATGAACACTATAGCAGTGCTACTCAACGTGGCAGCATGTGGGCAGGTGCCAATCCACAAGCCATCTGCTGCTGATCAGTGGAGATTTGCCAGGAAAGAAAGAAAAAATTATAGCCCATGGGTACACATATGGTCCTGTTCATCAGAAAATAACAATTGGTGGTCTCCCAAATAAGCTAGTCTGCAAAGCACTGCACTACAGCATTATGGTATTATAACATGATAGCTGTTTTCATTAAAAAGAAAAGAAAAGATACACCCAGAAAAGAATTATAATGCTAACTAAAATAGATTTTTAAATTAATGGGATCACAAAATAACACCCATTTGAAGGGCTATAGTGAATGTGTGTTGAACAACAAATGGTACCATATTTTAGGACTCATGAGTCTTATTAGAACATTATCTTGCCACTGGTAGTTTGGATAGCTTCAACACTGTCTTTTTAGCCTTTCTCCTTAAAAGTTACTTCTCCTTAAAAGCTCTCCCTACTCATAGTTGTTGTACTGTACCCACTGTGAAGGACAAAACATACTGGGATATACATATTTTTAAAAGTATGGTATTCCAATAATATGGAAAGTCAACCGCAATTCTTTTGGTAGCTCACAGCCGAAGTGTGCTGAGTAGCACCAGGAGCCTCCCATCTGAAAGCAACTCAAGAGAATGAAATTGAGTACAGCATGCAAGTCCAGACCTGACAGTGAATGAGATGCTGCAGGTCAGAGCGAGAGAGGAATGTTAGGAGAAGGTTAACATGAAATCTACTACCCCTTTTGGCTTATACATCCATCTTATCATGACTGTCAGAGAGCTTCCACTTCAGAATTAACACTTTACTTATTTCTAACATTCCTAACTCCTTCCAAAGAATGGTCAATATATTCATTTTCTAATTCCTTATACACTCGGCCCTTTGTATCCACAGACTTTTTATCCACAGGTTGAAAATATTTTTAAAAATCTATCAATTCCAATAGACAAACCTTGATTTTGCCATTTTATATATGGGACACCATTTTATTATTCCACTGTATTCAATAAGACTTGAGCAACCATGGATTTTTGTATCCACAGGGGGTTCTGGAACCAAACCCCAATGGATACCAAGGGTCCACTGTATTCTTAATTCATTTTTTCTTCCCAAAGAAGGCTGAAACAATTTTTTGAGGTTTTAAATCTGATAGACCCCCCCCCCAATAACTGTGAATGACCATACCTTTTTAACAAGAAATCCCTCTTTCAAAATGCCGCTCCCTTCTTCCATGTTGGACCTGTGACCGAGAATATGTGCCTGCCAAGAGGTTTGGAAGCAACTGCACACCGATTGTTCTGCGAATGGTGTTTTAAAAGGCAGGCTGACTTTCTTAACCACCTCCTCTGCTGTGACGTGCTTCTCCCCACCCTACCAGGGAGACAGTAAGCAAACACTGAGCTGGCACTGAAAGAACACCTGCCCTTAAGGGAATACAAAACAGGGAAAGTTTAACAGGGTTGTTCTACCATAGCATTTCTCGTCCTAGAACTTTGAATGGACAAGGTAAATTGAGTGACTCAGGTCATATTAATCAGCCGCCTGATTACACAACACAGGAAGGAGATAGTGTTTCTGTAGGTGGAAGCCAAGAACCAGGAGGCTACAATGTTTTGTTCACTGGGCATTTCCAGTTTTGACATATTAACATAGTGATTGGCATTCAGTTAGTGAGATACGCAGGCTGAAGTCGATCTGTGCATGTGAGGCAAATTATTCATCATAACACAATAGATATATACTGTTGACAGCTGCCGAAACAGAGCTGTGCATATAGCATTGTTATGTGTTGCAGTTGCAGATCAAGCATTGAACAGTGGCACTCGATCATTGAGCTGTGATGCACAACATTGCTATTCTACATAGAGCTCCATAGTGCTGGTGCAATGTATCTTCACATGTGGATATTTACACTATGTTATGGGGATTTTAGACTGCAGCCTTCTCCTGTGTCACTGTGTGCATGTACAATACTGCTGTGTAGAGAGCCAGTGTGGTGTAGTGGTGTGAGCATTGGACTAGGACTCTGGAGTTCAGGGTTCAAATCCCCACTTGGCCATGAAAATCCACTGGATGATCCTGGCAGATCACATTCTCTTACCCTCAGAGCAGGGGTAGGCAACCTAAGGCCCGGGGGCCGGATCCGGCCCTCCGAGGCCTTTGGACCGGCCCCAGGCAGGTCCTGCTACCACCACCACCACCCCTGCCATTATGATATTATTGTTGTTATTACTTGTTCTTGGGGTTTTCTTGGCAAAATCTCCACAGGGGTTTTGCCATGGCTTTTTTGGGGCTGAGAGAGTGTGCATGCATATTTTTTTATTTATAATTTTTTAAAAATAAATGTTTTATTTTTATTTATTTATTTTTGGTGCTTTGGCCCCCCAATTGTCTGAGGGACAGCAACCTGGCCCCCAGCTCAAAAAGGTTGCCTACCCCTGCCTCAGAGGATGGCAATGGCAAACCCTCTCTGAAGAAACTTACCAAGAAAACACTGATAAGTTCACCTTAGGGTCTCCATAAGTCAGAAATAACTTGAAAGCACACAACGCACACACATACAACTACAACCTAAAAGGAGGGCTGAGGAGAACCTTTAACACTAACAGCACATTTACCACTGTTTTTTTATTATTATTTTTGCATGAGCTTTCATGAATGCAAGCCCATTTCTTCAGATGAAGTACAGAGTGGTAATAAATGCTCAGGTATAAAGTGTATTTACAGATGTGGGAGTGGGATGGAATGTAATAGGATCTAGGAGGATGCAAATCATGAGCCTTGCCCTAAATTTTCAAAGAGCTGCATAAGGTGATACAGGTTTTAATAAAGCAAAATGGGAGAAAATAGAAAACCAGGGTGAGACACTAATATGAAAAATCTTGCCAACAGGGAAAAAATGTAGGTGTGATCCCCCCCCCTTTCCTCTGTAATTCTGGAAGAATATAGCTAAGTGGATAGTATCCACTTGACAAAAAAGCAGAGAATGAAATGTTATACATGGGCAAGATGCAAGGCCTAATAGAAGGGAAATAAATAACGGGTGCCTGTACACAGAGGATTCCTGGTACAAGATAGTTCCCCAAGATCGCAGAAAGTTTCTGGACTTTTGGTGCACTATTGACATCACAGGGGCAAAACCACACATATTTGCCAAAGGTATCTTCCTCTCTTCTAGGGTTACTATTATCAGAAATGTTACCTGACAATTAATGGAACTGTAGCTACACAGAGATAGAATGCTTTATGAGTAGCATATCCTTTGATGTCTATTCTTTTCCTTTGTGTCAGTCTTTCCCATCACTAGACTACTGGCATCTATTCATTGCACCAAATAAAGTTGTGGAATCTTTGGTGTGTGGTTTGGCTTAATTGCATTGGAGCTATCACTCTTTCAGATCTTTACAGTGGTCAGTCAGTGCTGACATGTGAAAGCAATACCTATGCTTACCATAAGTCAGGGGCTATGCAGACAGGCAGGAAAAGGTGACCTGAAGTTGCCTTTTCCCTAAGCTGCAGCAACCGCACTGCCTACCCTGAGGTTGCCCTAAATGAGGACAGAGCAACCACACTGGGGGAAGTCAATGCAGCTTTTCCGAGGCTGTATTGAAGTCCCAGCAACTGCACAGCCAGCCCCAAGGACACCGCAAAGGGAGACGGAGCAACTGCATGGGCCGGCAGCGGCTGCTTTAATTTTTTTTGTTCTCAAATGCATGCACACATGCACAGGACCATGTCTCCACACCTGCGCATCTGTGCAGGAAAACATCCTTGCACACCTGCACAGGACCTGTCATAGGCTACTATACAATCTATCATTCTCTATGTACAAAAGTGACTGAAGGGGGGAAGCAGACGGGCGGCCATGGGCCACCCCAGGAAACTGCGCCGCGGGACAGAGGCATCCCCACGCCTTGGTCCTGCGGCGCAGCTTCGCCGCCCCTGAAAGGAGCGCTAAATTGGCGCTCCTTTCACAAGTTGGCGAAGGTGCACTGCAAAAGGCTGCGTCGCACCTTCGGCGACTCTTCCGCCGCAGCGCGTGCAAATGCTGCGGCGGGAGGTCCTCCTCGGAGCGCCAGCCATGCGGAGGGCCAGCTGCTCCAAGGACGACCTGGGGAAGGGGTTGGGGTGCCGATTGTGCGGCTGCCCCTCCCCTTCCCTGACCCCAAGATGGCCCTTTATGCCGTCTGCTTAGGGGGTGAAGTTCGGCATCTCCGTGCACCTGCACAGGATCTGTCATACATCCACATATCATGCAAGGATTCGCTGACCTCTGTTTCCCCCCAAGTAGTGAGTGCAGTAGACAGGTGCCACTGTCTGACTGTGCCACCCTTGGGGTGAAGGAATGGGTTTGTCAACTGAAAAGACACTCCATCGTCCTCCACAAAACATGTCCACACAGATCAGGGGGGACGGGAGAGGTACATTCAAGGGAGGTTTGTGTGGACAGACTTGATACATGCAGGCGGTGGTCATGCAAGGGACATGGTCAACAGGATACGCGGACAAACGTTACTCCAGGAGGAGTTCATACTTCTGTTAATGAAGTGCAATTTGTAAATATAATTCAATTCAGTCATTTCTCTTTCTAGTCTTCTTTTGTAATTTCTTTGTTCAAGGACCACAACCTTTAAATCCCATACTGTACATCCAGGAAACTACTACAACCTAAAAGGCATAACATCCAAAGCTCCTAATGGAGGAGCATATATCAGTGTAAGAGTATGTCTTTGGTATGGGATTTTTTTTTAAAAAAATAATGGAAATGTAATGGAAATTTCATTCAAACATGGTATATTCTTGTACAAAGTATTTCTTTGGAATCCCAGAGAATGGAATGCTCTGGCAACTCTAGCTTTAACCCAGAGCATACCCCCAAAAGGTCAGTGTTTGTAGCAGGTTCTTAATCTACAATGGTCACAGCACTATATACACATACCAGTTGTAATGTCCTACTAAGTCATAAAATTATTTTTTAAAAAACCACGTGAAAGAATAAAGAGATAAGTTTTTGATTTGACACAGGGTGCATCTACACTGTAGAAATAATGCAGCTTGACACCACTTTAAGTGCTGTAGACCCATTCTTGGGATTTGTAGTTTTACAAGGTTTGTAAAGCTTTCTTGTAGTTTGGCAGCTTTTTCGGCCAGAGAGTGCTGTTGCCTCACAAAACTACAAATTTCAGGATTCTGTAGGGTGGAGCCGTGGCAGTTAAAGTGATGTCAAACTGCATTATTTCCAAAGTGCAGATGAACCAACAGTCATTCTGGTGATAAAAAAAATGAAAGAAAACACAAACCACTTGAGTGTACAAGCACAGATTATGGGAAAGTGTAAAATGTAAAGACCTGTGCATACAGGCTTTATGTTCTTTCCAGGAAAGAAAATTGCCAGCATGCACAAATCTCCCAAAGTGTATATATGGCATGTATATAAAGCTCCAATGGCTTAAGATCAATAGTTTCGGTCCAGCAGCTCCAGTGCATACACATGGGGTCCTAATATACACACACAACTTCTGTTTGTGCAGGAGCTCTTCATGGTGTGGCTTACCGGTTTTCGAGATCACTGACTGGAAGAAAATAAACTTTTGTAGAACATCAGAACAAAGGCCTTTAAACGGGATATATAGAGATAAGAATGTAGGAAAGGAAGAATTAATGGCATGTGTGTAACACTCTAGTGAATACTTGCTTTTATCCTGCTCAAGATAACAATCTGCACTCTGAGTCAGAACAGGAAGGATAAGTCACCAAGCCATTGTCCCTGCATGCCAGACAATCTGCATCCACAGACATTATTGTGGTGTACGTAGGTGGGGGAGAAATCAGGAGGCATATGTTTTTATAGATAACTTGTTCTGGCCTGAAGACCCATCCCAATAACTTGCTTTCTTCTTCACAAACAGGTGTTACCCTTAGAACAGATATTTTTTGTTATTCAAAGCGCTAGTTATGACTTATAAAGTGTATATGGCTCAGCTCCAGGTTACTTGAAGGTTCATATTCTACCATATGATCTTGCCCATGTTTTAGGATCTTCTAGGGCAGTGGTTCTCAGACTTTGGCTCTTTGGGTTTTTTGGACTTCAACTCCCAGAAGCTTTAGCCAGTTTGGCCCAAATTCAGGAATTCTGGGTTCTCAAGTGCAAAACATCTGGAGGACCAAAGTCTGGGAACCACTTTTCTGAACAGAGGGCCTTCTTGGTGTCTGCTCCCAGGCTCTGCAACCCCCTTCCTAGGCTAAATCCATATCAGTAAAATAATCCAGCTCTAGTGCACAGTATTCTGCCCTGGTTTCAAACCCAGTTAACACCACATCAACTGGTAATAAAGTTGACAAAAATTGTATTGATAGCCTCACATTTCCCCTGCCCAAATTCAAATTGGTATGAAAGAGCATTTCTTCCCATGTCTAAATTTGAGTATTTTAGGTCACACGATGGAAATGACTGCACTTTCCTCTACTTCCCAGCATGAGTTTCCTGACAGTCTTACCACCCACCTTGCACTTATTGCACGGTTCCCTCATCCAATTCCCTTCCTCCCACTTCATGCCCCAGCGAGTGATCATGAGTCTGTCTCCCAACACACATGCACTCACTTATTTATTTATTCACTCACACACATACAGGAAGGCGGGTGGATGGTACATGGGCAGAGGGAGCAGGAGAGAGAGAGAGAGAGGACAGGGGGAGAGCCAGGGCAGGAAGGGGGTGCTGGCAGCTGCTCCTATGGTAGCAGCTTCAATGGGTCCAGTGGCATCACTGGGGGGGGGGGTGCAGAGGCTGTGTATTAAGCAGTTTCACCATATGCAACATGTTAAGACTGGCTATTGTGCAAGTTACTGTATATACTCAGGTATAAGTCTAGAAATTTTAGTCAAAAAATTGACCCCAAAAACCTGGTTTTCTCATGGGTTAATGTAAGTACTGTACTTTAACTCATATATACCTTATTTTCCTGCGTATAAGACTACTTTTAAACCTGCAAAATCTGTGGTTAAAGTGTGTGGGGGGGTCGTCTTATACGCCGGGTATAAGGATAAGGAGGATAGAGG